GAGCCATGGCCGCTGAGCCTGCGTGTCCGGAGCCTGTGCTCCGCAACGGGAGGGGCCACGACAGTGCGAGGACCCCGTACCGCAAAAAAAAAAAAACACAAAAAAAAAAAAAAACACAAAGGTTAGCGAAATCTTGATAATTGTTGAAGCTTAGTAAGTACATAGGAGTTCATTATACTATTCTGTTTTCCATAATAGAAGGTTAAAGAATCCTGGTCATTACTAATAACCTACATCTACCTATGCTCCTCTTCTATCCTTTGTCCCTGCCTCCCTCAACCCTGAAGGAATTTTATGTTTCTCATTCTCTTATTTTATCCCACATATATGTATCCCTAAATAATATATTGTTATAATTGCTTGGTTTTGAACTTTATAAAAGTACATTAAAATTTTAAAGCACTGATTATAACAATTTTGCCAAATACAATAGTAATGTTAGATCAGGTTAGAAAAAGGTGACTTCTAAAAAAGACTAAAGGGCCTATCCTTTTTTTTAAAATATTTATTTATTTAGCTGCGCTGGGTCTTAGTTGGGGCACGTGGGATCTTCGTTGCCACATGTGGGACCTTCTTTGCGGCATGCGGGATCTTTTAGTTGAGGCATGCAGGCTGTTAGTTGTGGCATACAGGATCTAGTTCCCTGACCAGGGATCGAACCCAGGCCCCCTACATTGGTAGCACAGAGTCTTAACCACTGGACCACCAGGGAAGTCCCAGGGGATATCATATTTTAAAAGTTAACAATCATTAGAGGCTTAACACATTACCAGAGGAGTATGAGATAAATTTGGTAATTGAGGATGCCATAAAAAGGGGTAGGTTAGAGACCTTTGAGAGGTTGGGAGAGAAAATTATGAAACCAAAAGTAAGGAACAAGTTTTTCTAAAACAAAAATGATCTACAGGAAGTCAAGCATGCATAGCACATAGATAAGGACATATCTGGAGTGGCCCTAGAAGAGTGAGATGCGGAGCACTTAGCTGAAGCCCTGGTAAGGCAGAGAGCCAGAAGCATGATCATGACAAAACTAAGTTGGGCCTACTTGGCTGATAAGTATATTTTTCAAACGTCTTGACTAAAAACAAGTGAGTAAGATACCCCAGAACAGCAACCCAAGGGCTCCAAATTACATTTAAGAGAGTCATGTAATATATTCTTCGTAAAAAATACTTGTATTCTCACTTAGAATAGAAAACATTTTAAAATACATTATTGTACTCTGAGTTTCTGAAGGAGGAGGACTGGATTAGAAATTTTTTATTGCTCCTAGCACCTGAAGTACCAAGCTCTTCACAGATACTCAATGAATGTTGAATGTGAACAATAGGAACATTTTTACCATAAATAACAAGTTAAATAAGCCTTTCACAATCCCTGTACCTGCCTTCTATACTTTGAACAATTTTTTAAAATTAAACTATTTTCCTCGTTAAATTGAGCACCATTCTTATTTTAAACTTCTATTTCTGCCCTCTTATTTCATATTCCAAGAAAGGGGTATTAAACTATTAAGGTACCAGGAAACTCCGAAGCATATGAGCTCTCTTTGCCTCTGAATAACTATGGAACACATCCTACCACCTCCATGTTTACTGCTATAACCCAACTTCAGAACCCAATCATCAGGTCACCTAGATTACTGTTATCCTCCTCCCTACTCTCCTTCTAGTTTTATTTCCCATCTGCTAACAGGCAAATCTGATCATGCCTGATTATGAATACCAGGAAAGGAAAGTAATCAGTAATGGAATGGAAGAGTACAATAGTACTCCCAAAGTAACATGAGGGAAAACAAAGAAAAAGAAAAGAAAGAAGAGACGCTTGACAAAACTAATAAGGAACAGAAAAAAGAAAACAAATTAAAATAACTAATACACATACTATAAGATGATAGAAATAAAAATCAAGTATAAAACTTTGAATTAAATGTAGGTAGAATTCTCCTAATAAAAATAGAAAGTGTCAAAATGGGTTTAAAAATGAAACACAGAATATTCTGTTAACAAAAGATATACTTAAAATGTAAGCTAAATAAAAGTAAGAGACACTTAGATTCCATGAACATGCAAACAAAAAGAAAGCAAAGGTGGCAATATTAATATTAAACAAGGTGGTATTTAACCTTAAAATCACAGAAACAGGGTAAAAAAGGTTTATTATACAATGATAAAAATATAATTCATTTAGAAGTATAACTGTAATAGGACGTTAAAATAGGAGTCAAGTCCTAAAATAAGCTGAAGTCCCAAGAACGTGGTAGGCTATTTTCCCATGTAAGCTAAGTAAACTCAATGGAAAGAATCAGACTAGGTTCATCTCGGAAGGGACTTTGACCAACAGGGTCATCTAGAGTGGCATAGTAGCCATCAGACATATGGAACTCTCACAAGTCCAGGGTTTGTGGGCTAAAGTTGTTGAGCAACCACTAGAGATGCACTCATTGCATAATAGGAAGTATAGCTGGAAGTTTCCTGTGGGCTATTTCATCAAAGCCCACAAAAGTACCTCACAAGATAGCACTAAAAATATGCCAAACTGGACAACACCAATAACAAATCATAACAGTCAAGTAAATCTTTTCCTTTCAATATTCAACATTTTGAAATTTTATAGCAGTCAACCATAGAGAATTGTTTACAGAAAAGAGAGATTTGTAAATGCCCAATCTTAACCCCCTTAACACTCTTCATTTTTATTAGTTTCTTCTATTTGATACTACCAAAGAAAACCTAGAGGAATGAGAATTAGAAAATCTACCCTATCAAAGAACCACCAGAACCTGAAGGTACTCTTAAAAGTATAATAATAAAAATTCTATTTTATGGAATGCCTCCAAGCTTATAGGCATTTTCACCAAGATGATGAAAGCAAGTTGATAAATAGGAGAATCTAAATGCCTCAAACTAATAATCATTACATTTCCACAAAATACCCACAAAATTAAGAACTGTGAAGAAATGTAAACCTCCTACTTATTTGAAGAAGTTCTTTAATGAAGGGGGAAAACCCCACAAAATTTGAGAATATAATTTCTATTCTTATTCACAATTGTTCAAAGATTGTAGGCCCAGCAGGAAAAAAATTTGCTCTTAGCAAGTGGTAATTTTAACAATTCTCTTCCATTCCAGCTATCTGAAAGATTCACAGGATAAAATTCAAATTCTTTTGCATTACACATTAGGCCCTTCTTTATCTGATTCCTAAATACCATCTCCGACTATGTCCCCACATGCACCCTTTCTTACCGAGCCATAGTGGCTTATATATAGTTCTTCAAATGTAACAGACTCTTTTGTTGCTTTGTCTTAGCCCATGTCTTTCTTTTCTCTAAGAGGTCCTTCCCTCTTTCCTTCACCTGGGTAATTTCAACTCATCTTCAAGACAGCATATCCTGATGTCTCCTCTCCCTCCCCAGGCTGAATCGCCGCTCTTCTGTACTCCCATAATATTCTGTGTATACCTTTATGATAGTCCTTACATTACTAAATTTTAATCAATTATCTCCTATCTTCCTCATTAAATGATAATATTTTTTAGGACACCTACCACGTCCAGTCTACCTCTGTCTTCTTTTTTTATTTTTATTTTTGGTCACGCCACATGGCATGCTGGATCTTAGTTCCCCCAACAGGGATCGAACCCCTGTCCCCTGCAGTGGAAGTGTGGTGTCTTAACCACTGAACCGCCAGGGAAGTCCCTACCTCTGTATTCTTAACAGCTACCTAGCAAAGGACTTACCACACAGAAAGTATATGCATATATGGTCTGTCTGTCCATCTGTCTCCCTTTCTCATGCACACATATACACACAAAAATATTGAGGCATAGTCATTTTGGACATATCTCTGGTGGGCTGAGGTGGGGAGGGAACTACTTTTCCCAAATGATTTCTCTGCTATTTCATAAATTTACAATTTGAAGCTTGAAATTTTCCTCCTATAGTTGTCATTCCTTCAAGAAGTATTTTCAATTGAGACCAAAATCGAACACATGATAGATGGTAACTCTTGATTAAAGCAGGATTATGTGTGAATGAAAAAGGTTTATTAGTAAATGTAAGAATCCCCATCTGCTTGGAGTAGAAAAACAATGCAAGGCATGAGGATGGGAGGATTGCAATTTGAGAAAATAATATGCTACGTGGCAAAGAAGAACTCATCTAAAGTTCTGCAAACCAATCATCACTGATCAATAATCCTATAATCTGAGACCAGGATAACAGGTGGTGCCTGTTAGCCACATGAGGCTTTTCAATAACTTTTAAGATTAAGTGAATGATTTGGGCTTTTCTATAATAAACCTCATAAAGCAAAAAAACCCTTAGATTATTGGGTACTTAATATCCAAACTATTTTAGAGACACCAGAATCTGAACAATTTTTAATAACAGAGTAATACAAAGGCTTACTTATCTACAATGTCTCAGACTGAGTTGATTTTTCATTTTCTTCAATTTTTAAGGGAGCAAATGAGAAATATACAATAAAATGCACCCACAAATTTCATTAACATTAGGGAAACCTTCAGAGGCAGCAACTCATATAGTCTGACATAAAGGTGGGGTCTCAATACATGGTGTTGACAGACAAAAAGAAACAGATGGAAGGCTAGATAGAGGATAGAGAGCTTGCTTGCTATACCTCTAACCATGACAAGCCATCTCATAAATGCATACAAGAGAATGTGGATGAACTAGCACAAAACCATTCCTATTACAAAAGTTAAAACAATGTAAAAAAATCTCAGAAAGTCCAGTGTTTTCTATGTTAGAGTATAAAGTTAGTCTTGGTTTTCCTTGAGAATAGATCAAGTCAGTATAAAAGGAAAAAGAAACTTAAGTTGAATGCTAAGAAATTTCTAACTCAAGGGCTGAGAAAACTAGAGCATACAACAAAGAACTTGCATATTTATGTAAACAGTATTTGATAGCGTTACTTTGATATATCTGAAAATTTTTTAAATGGGCAAAATTTTGGTAAAGGCCTCCCTGACCTAGTCTTTTTCTTTTCCAGTCCATTCCCTAAGTCATTGTTAAAATCGCTCCCAGGGCGCTCCCAGGGCTTCCCTGGTGGCGCAGTGGTTGAGAGTCCGCCTGCCGATGCAGGGGACGCAGGTTCGTGCCCCGGTCTGGGAAGATCCCACATGCCGCGGAGCGGCTGGGCCCGTGAGCCATGGCTGCTGAGCCTGCGCATCCCGAGCCTGTGCTCCGCAACGGGAGAGACCACAACAGTGAGAGGTCCGCGTACCGCAAAAAAAAAAAAAAAAAAAAAATCACTCCCAAAGCACAAATTTAACCATGTTAGCTCTCTGCTTAAAAACCTCTAATGGTTCTCTAATACCTATGGCATAATCTCAAAATTCTACATTACAACATAAAAGATTCTTTATAATCTGGTCCCAATCTACCTTTCCAGTCTCCACTCCTATCAATCATTTTTCATTATTCTGTAATTTATTACATTCATTCATTTATTCCACTTGTCCTTTCTCCATTTGGAGCCTTTCACATACTGTTCCTTTTGCCTAGAATATTCTACTCCTCTTATAATGGATGAAATTCCACTTGTCCTTTAAGTCTCAGCCCACATAGCAAATGCTTTGTGAAGCCTTTCAAGATTCCACCAGGTAGGGCTTCCCTGGTGGCGCACTGGTTGGGAGTCCGCCTGCCTATACGGGGAACGCCGGTTCATGCCCCGGTCCGGGAGGATCCCGCGTACGGCGGAGCGGCTAGGCCCGTGAGCCGTGGCTGCTGAGCTTGCGCGTCCGGGGCCTGTGCTCCGCGGCGGGAGAAGCCGCGGCAGTGAGAGGCCCGCGTGCCGCAGGGGGAAAAAAAAAAAAAAGATTCCACCAGGCAGAGTATTTAATTCCACTTATGTGCTTAAACAGAATTTTGTCTCTGTTCTAATCTATAGCACTAGATAGATGTTTATATGTCTGTCTGCTGTAACAGATTAGGACTAGATGGCAGGGCATATGTTATTATTCCTGGTTTGGAGAACAAAATCTGGCTCATAATAGTGATTTAATAAATATCTGTTTAGACCTCCAATTGTTTCAAATCATTTAATATGATAGTTCTTGAAACTTACAAAGTAAATTTTAAGAGTTTAAGATTGTTTTACTTAAGATAGTTTAAAATATGATTTTTTGGCTTTGCTGTATTTATTAATTTCTTTAACTGACTACCACTACATGAATTGTACAATTATTTTCATTTAAATTTAGTGGAAATCCTGTAAAAACATCTATTTAGATTAAATATATGGAAATACTCACTTCTATATTTGGTAGAGTAATTGTCACCTGTTCACCTTTGCCGACTTCAAGCTCTCCTTCACAAGAAGTGTCAATAGAAGCAGGTTTGAAGTCATCTAAAAATAGATATAGATACTGGTTTTTATAAGATGGAAGAATACCTGAATACCTGGGTATCAAAAATATGAGCATGTTTCAGAGTGATAAATCATTTTTCAACAGCCAGTAATTAAAATGGCTTAGAAGAGTCTTAATATTGCAAACAAACAAAATACAATCCAAATTATTTGTGTATATATAATTCTGAGAAAAAAAAGAAATAGCTACACTCTAAAACAGTATTCCTCACTTCATGATCCCTTGGGATCCTGTTTAGATCAAGATGAACTAGACTACAATGTTCCACCACTAAAAACGAAATAATGTCACTATCTTGACAACTTGCTAAAAACCAATATCAGTAGAACATCTTCAATTTTCAGGTTTTTTTCTCCCCTAAATTTTTCTTAAACCACCTTGGGTTCCTACTACCACTTGTCTGCTGTCCTAGCAGAATACAAAATGAATGAAAACACAGCAAACACACATTCATGGGGAAAATTTAAAGAAAGCTTATTCAGTTTAATAGCTTGAGTTTTTCATGGATACATACACCACTAAAAGATGTGTAAATTTAACCAAATCTGCCACTTCAGAAGAAATTAAAATAAGTTTTCATTTTGAATTAGATCATAATTCAAATGATGTCATTAAAATATATCACCTAGAGGGAACACAGGGTGCTAAGATATTTCACATACTGAGCAAGCTTAAAAACCTCTAAGATATGAAAGTCACTTAAAAATAATTCACATCAATATACATCAATGACTAATAAGAACCTGCTGTATAAAAAGTAAATACAATAAAATTCAAAAAATATATATATATACATCAATGACTGATAATAATTCTGATACAGAATTCCTTTGCTGTTGCCAGGTTATCTTCTGATTTTTTTTAAAATAGAGGCTGGTAATCCAGATTTTTGTATAAAAGATCTTGATTTTTAGGTATTTACAACCAAATCATGTTAAAACAACAACTCTGTGGGTCAAAAAAAGCATCTCTAAAGTCAAAATCAGCTGATAGGTTGTAAATCTATAACCTCTGTTTTAGTGTTTAAAAACAGATTCTTTTTCTTTATATCATTACTTTTGATCTTCATAACTCTCTGAATTGAATATTCTCACCCATATTTTACTGATGGTGAACTCCTCTAAAGTAATGAAGCCAGTAAACGATAAGCCAGGAACTCAAGCCACACACTCTACCCATTCCATATTATATATCCTCTTTTCCTTAGATCCACAGTTCCGAACTTTTGTGTATATGCATGTGTCTGGAGGGGTGGTGTTAGGAGATGAGGGATAGTCATAAGTCCCTATCGGAATCTGATGAAAATTATAAACCAGCTACAGATCCTCTCTGCATAAAAATGCATATATGGGGACTTCCCTGGTGGTGCAGTGGTTAAGAATCCACCTGCCAATGCAGGGGACACGGGTTCGAGCCCTGGTCCAGGAAGATTCCACATGCCGCGGAGCAACTAAGCCCATGCGCCACAACTACTGAGCCTGCACTCTACAGCCCACGAGCCACAAACACTGAGCCCGTGTGCACAACTACTGAAGCCCGTGCACCTAGAGCCCATACTCCACAACAAGGGAAGCGAAGCCACCGCAATGAGAAGCCCGCGCACTGCGACGAAGAGTAGCCCCCACTCGATGCAAATAGAGAAAAGCCCATGTGCAGCAACAAAGACCCAATGCAGCCAAAAATAAAAAAAGTAATTAACTTTTAAAAAAGTAATACATGCTTAAAATATGTATATATGAACATACATATCAAATACTATATAATTTCAAGGGATTCACAAGCCCTTGAAGCCTATGCATAAATGCCTATAGTATATGAGATACCAATAACAGATAGAAATGTACTCAAAATATCTGTAGCTTTACTTAATAAGCTGGAATTTATAACCAGTAAGTCCATCAAAACTATTCTGAACCTATTTACATTTCTAATTATTATTGTTAGAATAAATTCCACATTTTATTACTTGTTATATTAAGTAGTGTTGTCTTTTATTTACCTTCACACAAGAAATTTCTTTTTAAGTATACAAATTTTGAGATTCAAGGGGTTAAATATAGCTCTAGAACTACAGAATTTGTTGAATAATCTCATGTTCATGCTTTCCATATGTTTTCTAATGTCAAATGTATTCTCTTCTAAGTTGGAATGATTCCAGACTAAATAGTTTATTTCTTTCGGTTCTTCTTGGTTTGGAAGCCTCACCACTAATTTTATCATTTATTTATTTTCTCTGGATTTCCTTCATTTATGTTATTTTCTTCAGGTTTACAATACAATTACTTATATTACATAAAGAGTGGAAAAACATTTCCTGCTTTATTCTCAATACTTTTCCTATCATTGTTGATCACTTCTCTATTTTGGCTGTAGCATCACACAATGTCAGTATCTTCACAAAAGAGTCCACAATTAGTAACATAAATTTGTTTCCTGGGATATGAACTAATTCAACTAACTCCAAAACCCATACCCTTTCCAGTATACCACACTAATCAGAGAACATTAATTGTAAATATAATTTCAATCCTATTTTTCATTAGTGTACTTTCTAATGTTTGCCCATACCAAAGCTTAACAACCAGTTTTTTGGGAGTGGCTCCACTTGGTGCCTCAGATAATCTTCCTGTAGTCACTGTCCATGAGCTCATCATTTCATGACAGGAAAAAATGGTGTCATTTACAAACTTAGGAATTTCAATCTTTATTCCCTTATCTGGTTATAAAGTGTAAAACTAGTACTAGCTCAAATCCAAAATTTATTCTAATGGGTCCTATTGCTCAAACTCTTCTACCCAGTGAAGCATCTGCTGTTAAGCATTAAGTTTATCATTTACAGAACATCCCACGTCTTCCCTACCACATGCCAGACTATGTTTTTGATAGGTTTTACTGTCAAGCCCCGATAATTGCTTTTTTTTTTTCTTTTATCTTTTTTTTTTTGTTTTGTTTTTGCAGTACGCGGGCCTCTCACTGTTGTGGCCTCTCCCGTTGCGGAGCACAGGCTCTGGACGCACGGGCCCAGCCGCTCCGCGGCATGTGGGATCTTCCCAGACCAGGGCACGAACCCAAGTCCCCTGCATCAGCAGGCGGACTCTCAACCACTGCGCCACCAGGGAAGCCCGATAAATGCTTTTTGAAAGTCTAGGTAAAGTACATTTATTGGCACTCTGCATACACACATGAATATAACCCTTCAATAATAATGGTGACTACTATTTATTCTCTATCATGCACCAAAAACTGTGCTAAGTTGTTTATACTATCTTACTTAATCCTGAAACTCTGAAATGTAGATATTATAATTTCCATTTTACACTTAAGAAAACTGAGACTGAAAGCTTCGAGAGTATTCCCAAAGTTACATTACATATATAGGTGGTGGAGGTCAGAATTCACATCCAGGTTTTTCCAAAACCTCAGTGTATTGAACAGGCAAAATTACCCAAGTACATAAAGATAGAATACTACTTTCTCCCAGGTAACATTGATTTGTTTGTTATAAATTAGGTCCACCCTGAAGGGGATTAAGAGGTATAAGCCTCCAGTTACGTAAGAAACAAGTCATGGGGATATAATATACAGCATAAGGAACATGGTCAGTAATATTGTAATAACTTTGTATGGGGACAGATGGTTACTAGACTTATCCTGGTGATCATTTCATAATGTATGCAAATGTCAAATCATTATGTAGGAAACCTGAAACTCACATAATATTGTATGCCAACTATGTTCCAATAAAAAAAATTTAAATAAATAAATGTCATGCTAAAATATATTTGAACCATCCTTACAAATTATCATGATACTTTCAATATATATCTTTACAGACTTACCTGTTAAAAAAAAAACTTAGAAGATTTAGAAAGATATTTACATTTAGTGAATGAATGAAAGCTTCAAGCACTATGTAAAACTGATATTGAAAATATTGTATATTTCACATACCTATCAATTTAAGGGCAGTTCATAATTTTAATAAAAAATGATAGAATGGATGAATTTATTGCTTCATTCTATAGATAAGATGAGCTCAGCAACTTAAAATGAATTGTCTATTTTACATAGTTAATAAAAAGTTGAAATTAATGTATTATCTGTGTGTATTTCTGTTCTACTTTATTACAGAGCTTAAACATGAGTATATTTTTCTGAAAATAGAAACAAAGTTCTTCTTCAGTTCCCTGAGGAAAAAACATATCTTTATATGTAGTAGTGATAATTAAAAATACTAAACATTTTTGGTTTTCAGAAAGAAAAATGTACAATTTAAAAAATAAATAATCATATCCACCTGCCTGTATGAAAGTCTATAGTTTCCATCCCTCACTCTGAGTCCTTAAGGATGAGAATCATATGGGAAATGAACCTATCCTCAAGGATAATGATTGGTTTTCTTTTAATAAATCTAGAAAGGTTCTGTCTGCTTCAACAAGAATAAAACTAAGGGCTGAAAACCTTTCTGATGTCTTCCACAGGACTAAAGGTGTATTCAAACATTTGTTTTTTTTGTAGTTATTATTATTGTTGTTTTATTTTCATTCTTGTAACAGGATCACCCGATACTCTGATTCTGAAGACACAATTCCAGCATTTTGAGAACTTTTATAAATAAAAGGCTTTGAAGCACCTGCAAAGTGCTTTTCGAAGGCTATTTCTTATTCACTTAATTTGGGGCTTATGCCCTTAAAAAGAGACTATATACCCAAGTTACACGAAAATAGATTCTTGAGCAAATTTGTGTAATCTCAAAACTTATCATTAAAAAAACTGATACTAAGATCACTGCATACCTGAGAAAGAAGAGGAAAGGAGAGGGAAGTTATTATTTGAGAGAAAGGCATGGAGAAACCAGATAAGAACTATATCATACTTCTGGAAAATGGGGCTGAAGAAGGAGAGAAACTGCACAGCCAGCACTAGCTGTTTCAAAGTCTTGGACCACAAAGTATGGTAAAGAAGGGACAATGTTGAAGATCTGTTTGCAAATATCGCCCCCATTTATTCTATCAAACAGATATTAACTTTGCTTAATAAAATCCTTTCATAAAATGTAAATATATCCTTGGAGAGTTAAACCTATTGGTTCTTCATACCTTTACTGTGAGTTACTGTAATTAGATTGTGTACAACTTAAGTAAACTTTTGGAGAATGTGAGTTTTAATTGAAGCATGGAACACTTCAGAGTAAAAACCATAAAGATCTCTGAACAGTCTAAGGACAGAATGAGAAGGGTGGAATGATGAGACACTAAGGAAGGGCAGGGCTAGAAAGAGGAAGTGAAAAAATACCTACTTTACAATTTGGCCACAGAAAAATAAGAGGTTATGATTCAATGATCTCAAAGTTTCCTTCCCACTCTATAATTCTATGAGGGCTATTATGCAAAAAATGAATGTTTTACATACCAAATCATAATATACTATATTTTTCTTCCTGGAATCTACACCATCCAACTATTAAAGCAAAAGAGTTCCATTTTCTACCTCAATAACATAAAAGAGAAAAATGTATCAAAACTAGTTCCAGAGGACAAAGGGAAACCAAAAGGAGAAATCACAGGGGGTAAATATCTTTCTAATAAATTCATAACACACCCTTCAGTACAGTGATAATCAGTATTTGATAAGTGACTGAATGAAATCAGGGGTCCAAAAGAGATACAGATTATTAGAATCGTCCAGAATATTTCTCCAGGAACACAGTAAATAAGAACCCTCATCAGTCAGACACCAAAAGTGAAGAAAGGACAGAATGTTTTCCTACCAACCTAAAGGCATTTTCATCAGGCAGACACCAAAAGTGAAGAAGGGAGAGAATGCTTCCCTACCAACCTAAAGGCATTTTCCCTTCCCATTTCCTTTTGCCCCCTTCCATTTGTCACCTTATTACAGCTGTTCCTTGAATAACACGCACGGGTCTGCACCGCACGGGTCCACTTACATGACGATTTTTTCCAATAAAGAGTATCTGTATTTTCATCTTACAGATCTTTAACGAAGTGTGGGGAAAAGTCTGTGTTCCATTAGAGATCACAATACGTGGAATGAAAAAAACTATAGCGTTTGAGTCCTGATTCTACCCAAACGGCTTCAGCTTCGGGATCTTGGGTGAGTCATGTATCAATTCCTTCGTTTTGGAGGCAGAGATAGCAGTCCGTGGATTTTCCACTGCGCGGGGTCGACGTCCCTAACCCCTGCGTTGTTCAAGGGTCAACTGTATACTTTCCTTTCCACCTCTGCATGATCCGCCAGTCACGTCTGACTCCACCCATAGTCACCCCTGTAGACCTCCACAAAGCGTCCCTTTCTACCTGCTGGTCTTACCTAAATCTCTCTGCTCAGAATTACCCACACCTGCTCGACCAGGCTGCTTCCACCGGCCCCCTAGCACTCCGGACAGGGCAGCAGGTCGCGCTGGGCACCGCATTCTCCCATAGAATAAGGGGTGGGGGCCTCTGTTCGAACACGACTTGGAGAGAGTTGTGCTTCCGCACCCCCATACCCAGAGATTCCCCCCAGTTTCCCCGGGGGTCGTCCTCACTCACAGCGCACAGTGTGGAAGGCGCAGCGCGGCTGCTTCTCAAAACTCTCCCCTAACTTGAGAACCCGCTCGCGACTGTCAATATGCGAAGGTCCCGCGGTTCCATTCATCATTCTCCTCCGGCTCCGACTCTGCCTCGGCCACCGGCGCTCACTACCCTCTGCCAACTCAGCCTGAAGAAGAGGCACTCGGCCACCGCAGGCGTAGCCACCATAGCCTCCGCCCCGCGGCCGACAAGCGCGGTCCCACCGGGCCTCTCGCGTGCTGATTGGCCTCCTGGAGATTGGCGCCCCGCCCCTTGGCCCCGAGGCTTCTGGTCCTGCAGCCAGGCTCCATTTCCCACGTTGGGACGCACGCTGACCCCGGCACGCCGCGTTTCTGAGGTGCGCGGTGGGGGCGGGGTTATTCGGTGGAGCAGCGCGAAGCGGGAATGAGGTAGCCGACCTGACTGGGCGGCTGGGGAAGGAGGGCGCCCCGGGATACCGGGAGGCCCGGACCGCAGGCTTCTGGACCAAGCGACCCGTCTTGTAGGAGCTCTTAAAGGGAGAATCGGCCTGCTCCACGCCTTTTCTGTGGAGATCTGGTGTGGAAACTGAGGTGGGGCAGGGGCGGAGCCTGGGCACTAGGCCTGGTGTCTTGTCCAAGGCCTGATAGCACGAAAGCCGGCTCTAGAATACGGAGTAGGGACGCCCGTGGCCTCAGAGACGCGGTCGGTGGACCTGACTGAAGGCGACGCCGTTGCCTCAGCAATCGTTTTTTGACCTTATGTTCCAGAGGAAGTTCCTGGTGGTATAAGGACTGGGATAGAGGGAGGGGGGTGAAATGGGGCGGGTAAAAAAGTTTCAGAGTTTGGAACTGCAGATATTTAGGATTACTTGCAGCGGAATCCATTGGGTTACCTTCTTTATCTAATTCACAGTGATCTGTGGCGGCGGTAACGGCACGGCCCTGAAGACCGAATTCCCAAAAGATCAAGGCCAGACCTTGTGCTCTGGCAGCAGGGTAATAGCATTAATAATTGAAAAATAATTGTCTTTTTTTTTCATTTTTTCTGTCAGAAGTTCGTGAGTTTAAGGGTAAAGATGAGAGAAGTGCTGTATTAGAAGAGAAGCATCCAAGAGAAGGTTTACAATTGGTTGCCATAACAGTGGTGGTTTTTCAGGGTAATTACGTAATCAGAAAACTTTCTTACTTAACTGCTACCTTCGACAGGTTTGTAATTTATTGTTCCAGGCAGGTAGATGAATGTGTCTCTCGCAGCCTATCTGCTTGTCCAAATTCTACTCTTTTAAGGTGGACTAAGACTGTTCCCTGTGGTAGTTAAGCGCTTGGGTTCTAAAGCCAGAATCTTTGGGTTTGAACCCCAGCTTCATACTCTGTACAGTATGACTTTGTGCAAACCAAAGTTAAGGATGCTGATCATTAAAATGGGAGGAAAAAATAATAGTACTTATTATACCTTACAGTTGTTGAGAGGATTAAATTAGTACAAGAAAGCATTTAAAACAATTCATGGGATAAAGTAAAAGCTCTCTGAATGGTTATTATTTTTGAGACTTTACTGTCATGCAACATTTTAGGGCCATCTTTGGTGGTTGCCTTCTTTTCTAAACCTTGAATTACTCTAGGAGGTAGAAATTATTATTTTGTTTACAGGTAAGAAAGCTTGTTCATGGAAACCCTGTCCTCTGACTCTGTGGTCTTTATTCTTATCATCTGTGTCACCTATTTGGCATGTAACGTATTTTACATAATTATTTTATTTTACATATGTGTGTATATGGGTCTGTGTGTATACTTTTCTTTCCTAACCAGAATGTGAGCAGGAAATCTGTCCTATATAAAATTGTTGTGAACCTTGGGTCTATCATAGAGCCCTACGCATGTTTGGTGGTGGTGATGATGTTTTATTATATTAGCCAGAGGGCAAGAACAGTGTTGTGAATCTATTTTACTTTAAAAAGGCTTTCAACCAGAAGTCTGAGGTTTCCATTTTATAACCAGGAGAAAAGCAGAGCATCAAGAAATTGAGGTTTTGGGATACCCAAAGTTTGTGCATTTATTCATTGTTTCAACATATATAAATACTAAGTACCTACCACATGCCAAGTGCTAGTTTAGCCTCTGGGAATATAACAGTGAACCAAAGAGGTAAGAAGGCAGCCACCAAGAATGGTATGAGTTTTGCCCTTATGAAGCTTACCTTCGAATGTGAATTTTCTCTAAACATACATCTAAATGAAATATGTTGTACTAGCCCAGGAAGAAACAAATAGACTAATGGACTAAATAGAATCTAAAAATATACCCAAGTGACATTTCAGATTGCTTCTCTTGTATCCATTCATGATAAATTATCTCAGAAATTTATAATAGCTATGTGCATTTGTTCTTTTTACACCAGTCTGTAACCTCATCTGACGTTATAGCTTCCTATCTTAAACCACTCACAAAAATAACTTACATTTGTATTGAAGATATAAATAAATTATGTTTATGAAGATATAGGTAAAACAAAATAATAAAAACAGTAGAAAAAATTAGGAGATTATATTTTAGCTCTTAGGGTAGGGAGGACCTTTCTAAGCATGACACCAAAGGCAAAAGTTATAGAGGGAAGATTGTTATACTTGACTACATAAAAATTCTAAAACTACGGTAAAACCATAATCAAGCTTTAATAAATAAACGACAGATGAGGATAAAGTGTTTATAGCCAATATAAAAGATAAAGGGTGTATATCCATGTATGAAAAACTTAAAGCTTCTACAAAAAGATAAGCCAATAGAAAAGTTGTTGAGGGATGTGAAGAGAAAATATATAAAAGAATAAATGGCCAGTGAACATGCAACGTGCTGAACCTCCCTAATAATCAAAGAAATAGAAATTAAAACAAGATGATCGGGCTTCCCTGGTGGCACAGTGGTTGAGGGTCTGCCTGCCAGTGCAGGGGACGCGGGTTTGTGCCCCGGTCCGGGAAGATCCCACGGGCCGCAGAGCAGCTGGGCCTGTGAGCCATGGCCGCTGAGCCCACGCGTCCAGAGCCTGTGCTCCGCAACGGGAGAGGCCACAACAGTGAGAGACCCACGTACCGAAAAAAAAACCCAAAAACACCCAAACAAGATGATACCATTTTTCACCTAGCGAATTGACAAAAATGTAAAATATAACATTAGGTACTATTGAAGGCATAGTAAAATGAGCACCCTCATACATTGTTGGTGGAAGTATAAATTGGAACACCCATTTTGGAGAAAAATTTGGTATCTAATCAAAAATTTTAAAATATGTGTCCTGCCACCCAGCCATCTGACTGCAAGGGAAAAATTCATCCCACAGAGCACTATCATGAGTACCTAAGACATATACTTCGATATTCATTGCAGCATTGCTTATACTAGCATACACTCTGAATGACTTCCAGTAGAGGAGATGTTTAAACATATTTTGATACACTCTTACAAAGGAAGCATAGCATAATACAGCCATTGGAAAGAATGAGATAACTATATCCACTCTCCTAGAAAGTTTATGTGCCAAGAGTTGTGCTGGGCTTTCTTTAAAAATGTTTCCAGAAAACTTGTTTTTTAATGATCTGTATTTTACCTAAAAAGGAATGATTTTTGGATCCTGTATTATGGGCAACTCTTTTTTTAAAAAAATATTTTATTTATTTATTTACCTTATTTTTGGCTGCATCGAGTCTTAGTTGCAACATGTGGGATCTTTCGTTGCGGCTCGGAAGCTCTTCGTGGCAGCATGCGGGCTTCTCTCTAGTCATGGCCTGCACATTTTCTCCCTCGTTGTGGCATGGGCTGCAGAGTGTGTGGGCTCTGTAGTTTGCGGCATGCGGGCTCTCTAGTTGAGGCGTGTGGGCTCAGTAGTTGTGGTGTGTGGGCTTAGTTGCCCCGCGGCTTGTGGGATCTTAGTTCCCCAACCAGGGATCGAACCTGCATGCCCTGCATTGGAAGGTGGATTCTTTACCACTGGACCACCAGGGAAGTCCCCAACTCTTTAATATAAAGTGTGAACTGTGGTGCCAGTTATGAAGAATAATAGCTTAAAAAGTGAGAAGTAGGTTATTTGGGAATATGTTTTGTGTTTCTTTACTCTTTTATGTGGGAAGGAATATAATGAACATGGTAATGGAAATTGGATTCATACTGATCTGGATTTGAATACTGACTCCACCACATGCTGGTGGAACCATGACAAATTTCTTAACTTCTTCAAACTTTACTTTTTTTTAATCTGTAAAATGTAGGTGATTAAAGGCTCTACCTCATAGTCCTGTTGTGAGGATTAAATGAGATAATGCACATGAAAGCACTTAGCACAGTGCTTAATTCATAGTTAGCACTTAATATATGTTAGTATTTATTATAAATAAGTTAAGATTATACTTTTTTTAAAATGGTATCTTTGAGCTTTGAATGCCTTAAAAGAATTTAATTTTCTTTAAATTTTTTAAAGAAAAGTTTTAGCAACAAATTGAATTGGGATGTGGATTTTTTTTAAGATAATTGATTTATTCACTATGCTATTTATAAACAAGCTTTGGTTATTTTACAATAACATTTCTGAATTTTGTGTTGGGAATCCCCAGGACCAACTCCAGGTTTAGTAATTTGCTAGGAGGGCTCATAGTTCTCAGGATATAATCATAATCATAGCTATGATTTATTACACTAAAAGGATACAAAGGAAAATCGTCAAAGGGAGAAGGCACATGAGGTGAAACTCAGAGGAGAACAGGTGCAAACGTCCAAGAGTCCTCTCCCAGCGGAGTCACATAGGACATGCTTAATTCCTCCTTCAGTGAGTTGTAATAACATGTTGAAGTGTTGTTTACCAGGGATGCTCACTGGAGACTCAGTGACAAGAGTCTTTATTGGAGATGGTCATGTAGGCATCCTCTGCTACCGCGTATCAGAATTCCAGACTTCAGGAAGGAAAGCAGGTGTTCAACATAAACCGCATTGTTTTTACAAACAGTTTAGGCCCAGTGAGCCAGTCATATTAGGAAATTGGTGGAAACCCTCCTGAAATCCAAGTTCCTAGACACCAGGCAAGGGCCAACCTTGTAAGGAGACCTTTAAAAAAGATATCAGTCTTAGGCCTGTATTAGCTCATTTCTGCACACTCAGTTTCTCTTTTATGATGAAAGAAAATTAACTCCTAACCTAGGATTGTTGTGCAGATTAGAGAGAGTGAATGTGAAGCACCAAGCACAGTTTCTGACTCTTAGAGAGTGCACAATAAACAGTACCTAGTGTAGCTGTTACAGTAAGGTATAAGGGTCTTTAACTCTTTTAGAGGTACACTAGTTGGAAAAACCAGTTTCTCCCTATAAGGAAGAAATAAGAAAAATCTACCCTTCACTTCTTGAACCAAGCAAAGCTGTTGTCATTTATATTTCAAACATTATTTAGGGGGTGAATATTTTAGGCTGTTGACCTTTATTTTTCTGATTCTGTCAAATATAGGTGGTATGAGAAATGAAGCCAATGGGTACAGACCCAAGGATCTTATCTCTAGCTGCTGAAGTTGCAATAAGTCCTGAGCAGAATGTCCCTGTTATACTGTTGAAGTTAAAAGGTAAGAAAATCTTTTTGTGATCGGCTGACACTTTAACAAAACAAATTCCATCATGGGTACAATTTTAGCATTTGTTTTTAATTTGTTCAGTGAAATCTTAACACTGTGATAAAGCAGTGATTTCTTTTTCCTTTTTAACGTATTTTTAGTCATTATTCAACCTATAAAAATACGGATAGCTCTTGGATTTATTGAGCAAAAATAAGTATATCTTATTTCCTTTTGCCTTAGAAATAATAAACAACACACCTTTTGGAAGCTCAGAGTTGAAGAAAGTCAAACAAGATATATATTGTTATGATCTCATTCAGTATTGCCTCTTGGTCCTCAGTCAAGATTGTTCTCGAATCCAGGGTGGTTGGACTACAATTTCCCAGCTTACACAGATATTAAGGTAAAATGAACAATAAATTAGCTTGTTGTTGAGGGATATAGTAGTAGATTCTTTTTTTTTTTTTTTTTTTTTTTTTTGGGGTCCGCGGGCCTCTCACTGTTGTGGCCTCTCCCGTTGCGGAGCACAGGCTCTGGACGCGCAGGCTCAGCAGCCATGGCTCACGGGCCCAGCCACTCCGCGGCATGTGGGATCTTCCCGGACCGGGGCACGAACCCGTGTCCCCTGCTTTGGCAGGCGGACTGTCAGTCACTGCGCCACCAGGGAAGCCCGAGTAGATTCTTAATTTCAACATTTGCTTTCTTTTCTTCATCTGGCTAACAAGCATTGGCAACCTCCCATGGTATGTTATGGATGTACTTTTCCTTCATACTATATATTATTATTCTTAACTGTATTTGTGAATATTTCACTGTCAATTTCACTCCATAAGCTCTACGAAGATGGTGATCTTGTGCTCACTACTGAATCCCAAGGGCCTAATAGACTAAAGACTAAAGAATATTGAAGAAATGAAGAGATTAAGGCACTGGCTCTATACTGGAAAAACTTACTGTAGACATGGGATGACAGTCATGTGGATTTATCATACAAGGCAGAATGAAATAGGTGCTGAAATGAAAGGCATAAGCAAAGGACTGCAGGAGAAGAGATACAGAAACTTCATTTCACAGTGTATTGGTTTAGCTGTCTCAACTGTATGTTTCATTAAGTAACCCAAATCATGTCAATAAATTTAGAAGCAGCATTTACTGATCTACTGCCATGCTAGAAATTATGAGAAAAAGATCAAAATCTTTTTTCGTATAGGAGGCAATAAAATAAATCAGGTGTTCTCAGTGTCTAAGCCACTTCCTAATTAAGTAACTGAAAATGTGCAGTACTAGTTGGATCTTAGCTTTTAAAACTGCTTATAATTAAACATAGATAGATAAAGGCCAGATTCAAGGTATACAGTTAGGAAAAAGTTAACACATGTAATATTTTTTTATACCTTAATTTTCAAGATTAATTATTTTCTTAAGTAAATAAAGCCTTATATCTTTGTGTTGTTAGATATGTTAACTCATGGAAATATTGATGGAGCTAGGCTCTCAGGAGTGGACTCCAAGTCTTAAGAAATCCCCGTGTTTGTGAACGTACAAAAAACATTTCATTTATTAACATTTTCAATGAAAATAGTACTCTTAATTAACTTTAGAAACCAAAGGGAAAAGAGAAACTGGTACATGTGAGTATAAGTCTATTGACCTTAGGAACTGATACGCAAAAATAAAAAAGAGACACTGAGCATTAGTCAGTTTTTAGTGTACTCAGTATGTAGTCACTGTTGCTTATCAGTGTCTGCACAAGCCTCTAACATCGGTACTTACTCATTAGAGTACACACATAGAGACCATTCTTGGATTGGGGACTTTTTTTGGTATTAGTCTGCACAAATAATTCTTACCGTTGAGGCTTCTGAATATACTCGTTTCGTATCCAGGGGTGACTTTATGTGTGGTTTCAAGAGGACCCATTTGTCTAAATAACCTCTCTTTCAATGTATATTGTAAACTGTTCCTAGAGTTTTTGCTGTCTCCTCTTCTGATGTAGGGAATGTGCAGTCAGATATTTTTCAGATTTTAGGAAAGTAGATCTGTTGGAAAAAATTGATAATCTGTCCCTTGTAGACTAATGCTACCCTAGGTATTTTTCAGCTATCTGATGTGTAAAATGTATCAGTTAACACATATGTTACTCTTGAATGGTATTCTATTGCTTTTAGAGTGTGTGTAGCCCCTTCACTGAAAACTTGCCTCTTTCTCTTTATTGTGAGCCAAGTGTATTTTGTTTCCTGAAGGATTGACAAGTAAGTTTTTAGGACATGTAAGGCCTAGCTCTAAGTACAGGCAAAATCCACACCACTGTTTACTTGTTACTTGTTAAGAAAGTTGTTACACTAATTTTCCTGTAAAAGTTCTTTATTGGCTTGGCAACAAAAGAAAGATACTAAAAATTCTCATTAAGGCATGGTGTCTATAGAAGCTTTAGCATTCATCTAAAATTTATAATTAGCACAAACTGAATCACAAACTTGTGCTCTTATTTCAGCCATTGCTGTGTGGGCTTGGAACCAGGAGAAGATGCAGAGGAATTTTACAATGAATTACTTCCATCAGCTGTAGAAAATTTTCTGGTTTTGGGGAGGCAATTGCAAACATGTTTCATCAACGCAGCTAAGGTATATGTATTTATTTAGGGTTTTTTGTTTTGTAGCCAAAACAAGTTAATTCTTGAGACGATGTTCCACATTGTTTTTTCAAGTGTGCAATATTTGGCTGAAAGTACAATTAGAGTAATGGATTCAAACATTTTGAAAGCTACGACCAAAATAAAGAAAATCTCTACATTTGAAAATTTTTAAGTGCTGACTGAAGCATATTGTATGACAATATGCTTTTTGAAGGATCTGTTTTACTACTCAGTTTTGAGCATCACCCATAGACATTTATTTCCATAACATTTTCCAAAAACATACTTTCTACTTAAATCAGTAGTGGAAGAAAGTATTGTTCTTTAGGCCCAAGGCTTTTCTCAGTAGCTCCAATGGTGAAGAAGAATAAAGATGCACTTTCTGTATGCTCCTTCAGATCCTCTCTAGTCAAAACGTTTCAACCTCAACATTTGGGTTCATTTCAATCCAACAAGTATTTCTTGGTTGAATTATGCTGGATGCTATATGTACTTTTTTTTTTTTACCTATGGATCATTTAGAAGTTTGTTGCTTAGTTTCAAAATATTTCAGGGTTTTCTTGCTGTTTTATTGTTATCAGTTTCTAATTTAATTCTGTCACATCAGATAACATACTCTGTGTCATTTCAGTCCTTTGAAGTATTTTCAGACTTGTTTTGTGGCACTCCATATGTTTTATAGTGGTGCATGTTCCATTACAAGCTGTCCTTGCTTTGCACAGTGCTGTCTTAACTGAAATTCATGGATATCAGGGACATGTAAAGCTTTTGATATATACAGATTTCATTTAACATGGTACCATGCAAAAGCAAAGACTCCCCGTATACCTGAATGTGAACTCCTCAGTTGTAGTGTGTAATGTTCTGTAAATGTCAATTAGATCAGTTTGGATATAGAATATATAAGGAGTGATAAGTCCACAAGGCTGAAATTCCACCTTGGAAGAGTTCTTGGCTATATGTACATTTGGGCCTACTGCCACATCAGAGATAGAGCAGATTCAAAACTTTTGTGAATTCTGAAGGGAGATAATGTAAGTCACTATAGGATGTTAAGTTCGATTTGAGATGCTTTGGGTATATAAGGAATAGACATAGTTTTGCCTTTAAACAACTCTCAGGCTAATAAAGTAGATAAAACCTCTAGGTATTTCTTATAGAAAAACTAAGACAGATATTTTTAATTCAGAAAAATAAGTTTAAAAAGTTTAAGAGTGAAATTGAGCAAGATATACAACAGTGTGGACAAAAAAGTGGTTTGAGTATGAGAAGTATTGTTGGCAGAGAATTTAACTTAGTGGTAGAGTATATGGGTCACAGATGCCACTTCTACCATCTCCATTGACATTTTGAGGGATGCTAGCAGTAAATAAATATTTGCATATTTGATAGATATAATTCAGTTCAGTTAAAGCAGCATGAACTATAGAAATTGTGTTGAACTTGATTTCTTTTCTGGCTGTGCCACAAACTAACTCTGGGTTCTTGGGCAAATCACTTGATTTCACTCTACCTCAACTTCCTCCTTTGTAAAATGAATTTCCATCTCATGAATAGCTCAGACCATTATGAAAGCTTTATGTTTTCTTCAAAGCATTTATTTAATATTCCCCACTAAAAAGCAATAATAATTATATTCTTTTCATTTATACAGTCCTTCAATACTTTTCATAATACTTTCTTATTCTTAATCACGGTATTTGTATAGAGATAAAAAATTGTTAAGTATATACATCAAAGGGAGTAAATCAGCTACAAAACAAAGAGGGCCACTTGACCACAGAACAAATTAAAATGGTGAATAAAAAGAAAATGACGAGAGACAGGATTCAGTGCACAGGGCCAGGAGGACACAGAAGTGTCCAAAATCCAGGTAGGAAGTTGCTGTCTGAGTCCATGACTCAGGTTCCAGTAGAGCAGGTACTGGTGTGATAGGCTGGTAGGGCAGGAGGACCAGCTCTCCTTGGCCTGAAAGCCCAGCCTCTGCCACTGAGCACATCCAGTTCTTCCTGTCACACTGTTTTTTTTAACATCTTTATTGGAGTATAATTGCTTTACAGTGTTGTGTTAGTTTCTGCTGTATAAAAAACTGAATCAGCTATATGTATACATATGTCCCCATATCCCCTCCCTCTTGCATCTCCCTCCCACCCTCCCTATCCCACCTCTCTAGGTGGTCACAAAGTACCAAGCTGATCTCCCTGTGCCATGCAGCTGCTTCCCACTAGCTATCTATTTTACATTTGGTAGTGTATATATGTCAGTGCTACTCTCTCACTTCGTCCCAGCTTACCCTTCCCCCTCCCTGTGTCCTCAAGTCCATTCTCTACATCTGTGCCTTTATTCCTGTCCTATCCCTAGGTTCATCAAAACCATTTTTTTTTTTATATTCCATATATGTGTTAGCATATGGTATTTATTTTTCTCTTTCTGACTTCACTCTGTATGACAGACTCTAGGTCCATCCACCTCAGTACAAATAACTCAGTTTCATTTCTTTTTATGGCTGAGTAACATTCCATTGTATATATGTGCCACATCTTCTTTATCCATTCATCTGTCAATGACACTTAGGCTGCTTCCACCTCCTGGGTATTGTAAATAGTGCTGCAATGAACATTGTGATACATGTCTCTTTTAGAATTATGGTTTTCTCAGGGTATATGCCCAGTAGTGGGATTGCTGGGTCATATGGTAGTTCTATTTTTAGTTTTTTAAGCAACCTCCATACTGTTCTCCATAGTGGCTGTATCAGTTTACAGTCCCACCAACAAGCAAGAAGGCTCCCTCTTCTCCACACCCTCTCCAGCATTTACTGTTTGTAGATTTTTTGATGATGGCCATTCTGACCGATGTGAGGTGATACCTCATTGTGGTTTTGATTTGCATTTCTCTAATGATTAGTGATGTTGAGCATCCTTTCATGTGTTTGTTGGCAATCTGTATATCTTCTTTGGAGAAATGTCTATTTAGGTCTTCTACTCATTTTTGGATTGGGTTGTTTCTTTTTTTGATATTGAGCTGCATGAGCTGCTTGTAAATTTTGGCGATTAATCCTTTGTCAGTTGCTTCATTTGCAAATATTTTCTCCCATTCTGAGGGTTGTCTTTTGACTTGTTTATGGGTTCCTTTGCTGTGCAAAAGCTTTGAAGTTTCATTAGGTCCCATTTGTTTATTTTTGTTTTTATTCACATTTCTCTAGGAGGTGGGCCAAAAAGGATCTTGCTGTGGTTTATGTCACAGAATGTTCTGCCTATGTTTTCCTCTAAGAGTTTTATAGTGTCTGGCCTTACATTGAAGTTTTTAATCCATTTTGAGTTTATTTCTGTTTATGGTGTTAGGAAGTGTTCTAATTTCATTCTTTTACATGTAGCTGTCCAGTTTTCCCAGCACCACTTATTGAAGAGGCTTTCTTTTCTCCATTGTATATTCTTGCCTCCTTTTTCAAAGATAAGGTGGCCATATATGTGTGGGCTTATCTCTGGGCTTTCTATTCCTGTTCCATTGATCTATATTTCTGTTTTTGTGCCAGGATGATACTGTCTTGATTACTGTAGCTTTGTGCTATAGTCTGAAGTCAGGAAACCTGATTCCTCCAGCTCCTTCTTCTTTCTCAAGATTGCTTTGGCTATTCAGGGTCTTTTGTGTTTCCACACAAATTGTAAAATTTTTTGTTCTAGTTCTGTGAAAAATGGCATTGGTAGTTTGATAGGGACTGCATTGAATCTGTAGATTGCTTTGGTAGTATAGTCATTTTCACAATATTGATTCTTCCAATCCAAGAACATGGTCTATCTCTCCATCTGATTGTGTCATCTTTGATTGCTTTCATCAATGTCTTATAGTTTTCTGCATACAGGTCTTTTGTCTCCTTAGGTAGGTTTATTCCTAGGTATTTTATTCTTTTTGTTGCAGTTGTAAATGGGAGTGTTTCTGTAATTTCTCTTTCAGATTTTTCATCATTAGTGTATAGGAATGCAAGAGATTTCTGTGCATTAATTTTGTATCCTGCTACTTTACCAAATTCATTGATTAGCTCTAGTAGTTTTCTGGTAGCATCTTTAGGATTCTTTATGTGTGGTATCATGTCATCTGCAAACAGTGACAGCTTTGCTTCTTCTTTTCTGATTTGGATTCCTTTATTTCCTTTTCTTCTCTGATTGCTGTGGCTAAAACTTCTGAAACTATGTTGAATAATAGTAGTGAGAGTGGGCAATCTTGTCTTTTTCCTGATCTTAGAGGAAATGGTTTCAGTTTTTCACCATTGAGAATGATGTTGGCTGTGGATTTGTCATATATGGCCTTTATTACGTTGAGGTAAGTTCCCTCTATGCCCACTTTCTGGAGAGTTTTTATCATAAATGGGTGTTGAATTTTTTCAAAAGCTTTTTCTGCATCTATTGAGATGCAGAAAGGTTAGGTTGTTTGAGATTTTTCTTGTTTCTTGAGGTATGATTGTATTGCTATAAACTTCCCTCTTAGAACTGCTTTTGCTGCATCCCATAGGTTTTGGGTCATCGTGTTTTCATTGTCATTTGTTTCTAGGTATTTTTTTGATTTCCTCTTTGATTTCTTCAGTGATCTCTTGGTTATTTAGTAGCATATTGTTTAGCCTCCATGTGTTTGTATTTTTTACAGTTTTTTTTTTTCTACTGTTATTGATATCTAGTCTCATAGCATTGTGGTTGAAAAAGGTACTTGATATGATTTCAGTTTTCTTAAATTTACCGAGTCTTGATTTGTGACCCGAGGTATGATCTGTGCTGGAGAATGTTCCATGTGAGCTTGAGAAGAAAGTGTATTTTGTTGTTTCTGGATGGAATGTCCTATAAATATCAATTAAGTCCATCTGGTCTAATATGTCATTTAAAGCTTGTGTTTCCTTATTTATTTCATTTTGGATGATCTGTCCATTGGTGAAAGTGGGGTGTTAAAGTCCCCTACTATTATTGTGTTACTGTTGATTTCCCCTTTTATGGCTGTTAGCAT